CAGACTGATTTTTAATTTTCTTTCATTCTGTAAGGGGGCACATCAATTGTGAAGCCCGGTAGCCACAACACGTTCCAGAGTACTTCAACTAAACACAGACCAGGATTAACTAATTTCAAGGAACCTTGTTTGTCCAGGGGATGCTGATTCATTGGATCTGATAGTTTGCCAACACACCTATTTCAACAGCACTTTTTACCAGAAATGATTCTCAGGTCCAAGACGGTGAGTGGAGCCAGAGCAACCTTTTCACTGCATGCACATGAAAGAAACAGATGCAACACTGTCTCTGGTGTATTGCTCAGATTCAGAAAAAAATGTGAATCCAGGTGAGCACTGTAACTGTCTGAATGGTTGAAATAGTGCCTGGTGTTTAAAACAGAAAAAAACCGCCAAGATGTAGACTGGCACCTGCTTTGCATATGGAAAACAAATACAAACGCCTGCTCTGAATGAATATCCTAAGCAACATTATCAGTTCACCCGAAAAATAAAGAAATTGAGGTTTTAGCCATTACCTGTGAAACGCCAACATTTCATAAATACCCCACGTCTCACAGATTTTTTTCCTTACTTCCTCCTTTCTCTCCTCTGCCCATTCAAATGGAAGATTTACAGGAGAGCTGTGAATACAGACTGTGCTGAGCTATTTGCGTCTATATGTTGTCACTTACGACAATACATTTTGTACTGATACAAGGACACACAAGTACATGAAATCAATAAAAAAGTGCCTGGCCCAGTAAGTCAAAGTGCTCATCTAAGTGGCTTCAGGGCTCACTCCTCCTGTATCAGCATACTAATAAAAACATTAGCTGCTAGAGCTTTACAACTGAAAATACACTGGTTTTTCCACATGGCCAGTTGTATTTTAGACTCACTGCATCATTCCTCATCTGCGGAGCCCAAGCAAGTTATTCATTAACTCTCTGATATGTTTCAGTCACTGCCCAAAACGTGGAGTAGAACGTAGAACAAAGATAGGACTTAAGGGTCAAACTAGTGGGAGCAAGTGCTGGTGTTTGATTTTTAGGGTTTGGCTTGTTTGTTTGTTTGTTTTTTAGATTAAAAAGTGAATGTTCCTTTTTCCAGGTCCATGGAAAAGAGGACCAACAGAAAACACTGGAAAACTACTGCACTACATTAATTACATATAGTGTTCTAAAACTACGCAGGTAAGCTGACCCTTCCTTAGTTAATCAGCCCTTGTTCCTGAGAGTGCTGCTCCCTTTCCTCCCCAAGCATGTGCCTTTCTTGATCATGATTCTGGGGAGAAAGTTCACTGCCTTCCCTTTCTACTAACCACTGAGTATATGAACCACCAAGGACATAAAGAATCTGACTTAACATCAGAAAGCATCTGATCTTCAGGTACCTCTCGCACCTCCCTGAACAGTTAAAGGACATCACTCCATTTATGGGCAATCAGCCAGCACTATAAGCACCTTTAAAACCTCAGCTACATCTTCAGCCATGGTTGATAAAAACTGCATAGGGTGGTGGGAAAATATTAAAATATGCAGTATCTGGCACTGAGGATACCTGAGTCCTCAAGAAAGCACTGGTATGTTCCCTTCTACACAGGAATGCATCTTTATTGTGCTTTAATAAATGCCATGCACTTCAGGTACACAACAGGATAGTGAGTTAGCCAGGCATCTCCCCTTTCCATACCCATTTTGTTCTGGAAGATCAGAAGTTCCCAGAAGAATTAACATACACACATCAACCTCTTCACCTTCCCAGCGACAAAGCAGCAAGAGCAGCAGTCCCTTTTGACCATTTTGCCCTCAAGCTCCTATGGGCAATGCTGATCCTGTGGACGTGTGCACAGAACACGTGACCACAACGGAGTCTGGATTGTGGCAGGGACCCCCAAAACACTGCATTAACATTAGCAGTGTAAGTACTCTGTGTGCTGGCTAGCTCTTTGTACAAACCCACAGGGCTCTCTGCAAGCTCAGAGTTGAGGAAAATCCACTCTGCAGGCCCTTCAGCCTGTAAGGCGAGGCAGTACTGGAAATGGGAGCATCTGGAAAACGGTGATTCAGCCATAAAACATGGTCAAGGTTGCACAGAAGCTCTGAAACAAATGTAGCAAACACTATTATTCACTGCCTATCAGACTGACTCCGTCTGCTTTTGGGGCTGCAACAGTTGGGTAAGGCCCTCCTCTCTGGCTGACCAAGAGTTTCGGAAAGATTACACCACAGCATCCTCTTTCCAAAAATACTTATCGGGTTTAGGGGTGGTGCAAAACCTGACAGGATTCAGAAGAGAAATTACACCATTTCCTGTTCTGCAAATTAAAATAGAATATAGAAGGTGTATGTGGTAGGAGACAGAGAAAAAAGAGGTTTTAACAACTTAATGTCATTATTTGCAATAATGATTCTGCAATTTGCTTTCTAAAACTAGTTGCACTTATTTTTGCCTCCTCCAAAACGGAATACTAAGTCAGAACATCTACATACAGAATAGGAGATTCAAATAGTTTCATGCCAAAATTTGAAAAGAGGTTTGGCCAAACTCACATATAATCAGCACCAGAGTTAAAAATGAAACTCTGAAATTCCTAGCTCTTGTGCCTGACTTCAGGTTGCCAAATTTACCTTTTAAAACAGCAAAAAGGAGTGCAATGATTTGCGTGTAGTCTGGGGTTTTGAACTACACTGGATGATAGCTGTAACAGAGTAGTAATCTGGTACAAAAAAACAATGCCACCTGAAGAAATGCTAGCGATTATATGCTTTCCTTTGGGATTTTTAAAAGGTTTGTTCATCTTTGTACTGTACACCTAGTAGGATGGATTTCTTTCTGCCATTTCAGTCAAAGAAGTAACAGCAGTACGTTTACTCCAATCTCCCCCTCTACTAATCAGCTGTCCTACAAGGATACTGTAAAGTTTTTATCAGAACAGCAGCATTAACATCTCAGTAACAGTTACATCTTCCAGGACACAGACATAACAAATGCACACAAACTACACTGAAAGAAGCAAACCCCCACTGCTACATTTGGCCAGGGAGCCAAGGTAAGACTGCCAAGCTCATTCTCCTCTACAAGTGTTTTATCTATTTCTGGGTTCTCCCCCTCTGAGGCTAATCACTCTGTTCAGTTCAATATATTAAAATATTCAGTTATTCATTACAGAATGAAAATATTCTCCACCATTCATTGAAAACAGCGTATTTCCTGTAAATGTTAGCCTGGCCTGGTGCCTTTGGCTGAAGTTTTCTTCTGTAGTTGTCTTCCATGCCACAGCATCATTTTGCCCAGGACATACAGCACCATTACAGTTAATGGGGATGGGCAAGGGGAAAGCCTGGCTTCTGCTTGCCAAGCGAGACCTCCGTGACTGATTTTAAGTACAAAAAGCTTATAGAAGAAGTTTTTTCCCCAAGAATCACCTCTGAGCACACTGGATCATTTATTTTTCATAATTCGTGACAAGCTTAAACAAATCCAGATGCTTACCTACGTTTTCAGACACCTCCATTTCTTACAAAACACAAAAAACAAGATCTGAGGAAACACCATAAAGTACAGTTCTGACAGTAAAAGGCTTCCATATAATGCTCATTTGTCAACCAAATTTAAGCACTCAACTGATGTCCTTTACAACTGCTGCTTTAGCCTCGACTATATAGAAGAAACTAGAAACATGAAGAACCACATTCTGTATACAATTAAGCCTATATTAGCTGTAAACTCAATTTAAACCATCAGCAAAATGGAGTTATAGTTGCTCTGCACCATCATACACAAGACCAACAGTGAATATGAAAGAGAGAATTCTGCTGAAGTACTAAATGCTGTATCAGTGTTGGTGAGATTCTCTTCTTTCTTGTGGATTACGTCTTTTTTTCTACTGCCATTTAAAAGAAATAACTGATAGATCTTAGGCACATGATGACAAATACCTGCTTGCTTGTTTAAATCCAGACCCATTGCACAGAAATTAGAAGTTGCCAACTTTCAGTGGCAGCTTGGAAATGGTTTAAAAAGCTGTGACTTTGTTGATGTTGGCTGCAATTTTCAATTAACACTATACTATTTTTTAAGTTAGATGCAATTTCCTGTCAAACAGCACTTTTAACCCACACATCTAATTTTACCTCACACTGGGAGATCATGACGCAGTTAGCTGCTCTTCCTCCCTCAATGAAAACACTTTTGGCCATATAAAGTTATCCAAGCTAGGAGAACTCTCACTGCTTCATCATGTTGCTATAGTTTGACAGCAAACCACTCATAAATGCTTGTAGAAAGTACAGTAGAAGCTATGTACACACTGAAGAAACGCATGCATTGATAAAAAGATCCATCCAAGATACACTGACACACTACTTCAACATCTCTTGTCCAGACCTCATTTTTGGGCATGGCATTAGGTGGCTGAGCTTGTTCTGCCTTTACAAATTCCTTTAATTCACTTTTTTCCATTTTATTGGACTTAATGAAAGCATACAAAGCCAAACTCTTAGTAAGTTACTATAAAACATGGTAAATCCCATATGATATGCATAATTATGCCCATGTATCAATAAAGCTGGTACCTATGTGAAGAATTTGAACCTTTAGTGCCTGAAACATTGCAAGCCTGTCACAAGCTCTCTGCTGGGACATACTAGACTGGGTGTTATAGTGGCCATTCAAGCAGAGGCCATGAAGGTGTCCTTGCAGAAGCACTGCTAGATGTTGGTGTCCAGTTCAAAAGATACATTCAGCCAAACAAAAGACTCAATTTTCATTTCACTAAGTATTCTAGCATACTTTGTGTTCAAGAAAAGTGCACAGATCAAGTTTTTACAGTATCTGAATTAAATGAGTTTATTGCTCTTTATAAACTTTTTGCTTTTGCTTCTCAGTGATCACTGGAATCCAGCAAAGCTACTCTACAAATAAAACACTTCAACAGCTTAAAATAGTGTCAAGTGCTGTTTTTCACCTTAAATTTCCTACGATATAAAAGCATATGTTTATCTAACAAGTCTTACCTCCAGAAGTCCATCTTCTGGTAGATCTGTGCAGTGGACAGCATTCTGAATCTTGTTCTTCCCAAAGACAGCACGCAGAGTTCCAGGTCGGAGATAACGGGCTATCTCCTATTAAACACAAGAAAATCAAAAGACCTTGTGAACTACATGGTGCAGTAGAATCTTATAATGCAAAACATTACTGTGTTATACTAGCATACGTGGTGTGCTAGAAAAGAAAACAAAGAGGGTAATTTCAGTTTGAACTACGCAGGGACAACTGCTAACAAGTCAAGATCAAAATCTTGAATGTCTGCTTGAAACTGGGCCAACTGAGGCAGCTTAGTTGGAATGTAGGATTCTCCACATTACAGATAGTCCTTCCTAGCATTTGTATCATTATAGTTAACTTGTGTTAACAATTTTGCAGCTCCTGAGCACAGAATGTGCTAGTACTTAGTGAGCAGACACCAGCACAGAGCCTGTAGACTGCCTCCATGAGCAATGCACTCCTCCTCAGAACCTGACATTGGTGACAATGAACTACTGAGCAGTGTTTCAGCTATCCAATGCTGCTGTGCTTCTGTGACCCTGTGACCACCACCAGTATGGTTCTCAGCTAAGGAAAGATGTTGTCTTTGGTTTGATCCTTCTCCGTATCACTCCAGATTTTTTACATCTCTGTTCTTCATATTGACATTTCAACCCTCTTTCTTTATCTATAGTACCAAACTTTTTCTTGGCCTTCAAGAGTATGTTTGATTATTGTAGCAGATACCGCTCAGATCTTGAGACAACAATCCTCTCTCATCTCTGCTATGGTGAATTTCTCACCTTATACATCATAGGACTGCTTTTGTTGGCTCTTACTCCCACTATCCTCCTTCTTTCAAGGCACACTTCAACCCTGCTGTACTTCTCTGCACTATCACCTTGCAGACTTACCTTTTGACCCTTTTCCTATGCTAACCACACCAAAACTTGTTGATCTGTCCTCCCTGCATTATTAGAGAGTAATCACTTTGGAAGTGGCTAGCATAGTTTTACTGTGCCCCTCCCAGGTGTTTGCTTTGATGTCTCAGCTGGTCATTCCTGACCCTACAGCCAAACCGCCACACTGGATTGTCCAGGCGTTCCTTAACTTCTTGGGCCAAGGGCTTTCAAAGCAACTTCAGTAATGGCTCCTGGCTAACGTGGAAATCTGTGCACAGGTACAGATGAGAACCACCTGCATGACGCAAGCTTTCCTCTGGGAAGAAATGAGTCCCACAAGAACTCAGAAGAGCGTATCTGCCAGCACTCTTCAGCCACTTTCCAACTTCTTTCATTTGTCTTAGTTTAGGAAAGAGATGTGACAACTCGACTTTAAAGGCAAGATTTTCCCTTAGCCCAGCAAGCCCTAGCTGTTTTCCTGTAATAATAATTAATAATTATTTCCTGTAATAATAATCTCTTACCTAATAAATCTCTGTTTCCAATGCAGATCTGATATACACCTAAAAGACAAAATGCTTTAACACCTGAAGCATGTCTAACATGGTAAAAGTTTCAGTTCCCCACTGCTACATTACTGATCATTCAATATCTTTGAATATGGATGCCGGGGATATTTAATAAGATACTCTTGACATCAAGCAAATTTTTCTTTAAAGGTTCATAGTTTGATATTAAAAAAACAAATAAATGAACAAAAGACCTCCTTACGCTCCTCACTAAAGCCTTGCAATGAGAAAATCTGCTGGAGAAATGGAAGTCGTACCAGCTATGTAACACTTCAATCAATCACTTCCTTAAAACAACTGCTGATTCCAGTAAGAACTAACATGTCAGAAAGCTGGCAATAAGCTTGGGAATATTACAAAAAAATGTTTGTGGCCAAGGAACGTTTGGAAATACTTCAGTAAAAGATAGCTTAGATCTCAAAAGCTAAACAGAGCACGAAACACCTAACTTTATCTCCTATCTATCAAACTCTTTGGCTGAAACTGTTCCCTCCTCCTACGGGTCCAAAAATGATAGTTCTTAAGAAACTTTCCCAAGTTTTTCCTCTTTTCTCACAAGACTCATTTTTGCTTTTTTTGGGTTTTTTTTTTTTTTTCTTTAAAATCAGCAATGGCCATTTCATTTGCCCTTAGCTCCCATTTCTGCTTTACAACTTCACGCCAGAAGACTTTGCTTTTGTTCTTCACTCGGACTCAGCTCACTCTCACTTGGGCTGGCAAAAGCTCCCACTTTTTGCAGTATATGACCTATTCTTCCTCCAGTTTTCCTACATGGGATATGACACATTCTCCTGCTCCCTTGAAATTCATGAACCTTCCTGCACAAACAGGGACTGATTCTGTTCTGTCTGCCATCGGATTAGATTAGAAGGAGCAAAAGGTAGGCGTTTCAGCTCTTTACGTTGTTAGCACTTGATTAAAAAGAATCTAAATAAACCTTTCCGGCCATCAGTTAATAAGCAGAACAAGAGGTAGGACATTCTCCATTTACAATTACATAGCCAGAAGAAGAAAACAAGCATCAATTCCAAAGTGTTATTAATCTATCTCTTATAACACACTGAAAAACCTCCAGTAAACAAAGTAGCAGTAAAGGACAGGGATACAAACAGCTGTATAAGACCCACGTACAGGTGTTTGCATGTATGTATAGTTGGAAATCTTGGGAATGTTTCTGAGAGGTGGGAAGAAAGTTCCTTAGAGAATTTAGTCCTCACAGCACATCTTAATATACACTCTTCAGCTCTATGACAGGATACTTGCTGAGTACTTTATATATAGTGCCTTATATGCAACAACAGAGACACAAATATAATAGTTGTGGGTTTTTTATGTTTTTTCTTTTTTCCTTTAACCATTTTTATAAGTTTGCTAGTTTTAGGAATGCATTTTGCATAGTAGCCATTTTCAAAAACTTTCTCAAAGGCTTAGCTAAAGCAATAGCTTCAAGTTGTGCCAAAGGAAGTTTGGTCTGGAGGTCAGAAAGAATTTCTTTATGGAGAGGGTGGTCAGGCATTGGAACGGGCTGCCCAGGGAGGTGGTGGAGCCACCATCTCTGGAGGTATTTGAGATGTGGTGCTTAGGGATATGGTTTAGCAATAGACTTGTAGTGTTAGGTGAATGGTTAGACTTAACAATCTTCAAAGTCTTTTCTAACCTAAATGATTTTATGATTCTGTGAGGGTAGAATGATGGAAGAGTTAAGAGCAACTCCAGCTGTTCTACCATACGTCTAAGAGAGGAAGAACGTGTGTGTGCGGGAGCTTCATGCATGTGTGCAAATGAGAATGCTACAAACTCACTTCTCCCATGAAAATTACACTATGTCTGCAGCAGAGCCAGCCATGCTAGGCTACATATTCTTGGATCTCATGCAGCAGGTTATTTCATCACACTTTACAGACTGGGCTTTGATTTACAGCCCTTTGAACAGCCTTATCCTCTTACACAAGCTACAGTCACCTATATTTCATGTTTCTATCCAACTTTGCCCTATGAAAATACTGCTTGTATGAAATACAACATGCTAAAATCTATCTCTATATGAGCGGAAGGAAAAAAAATCACCAGTGATATTGGTAGAGTGTCAAAATCAGACTGAAAAATCATAAACGTTCTTCATGAGCAAGGCTTGTGAATCACTTGTCTTTCAAACAACTGATTTTTCATGTGCTGGAGAGAAAGTTATTATTTGAACTGTTAAAACATATTCCAGCCAAAACTGCAGATTTCAAGTAAATTAGCCAGATTGTTTTTTAAAGCATCTACTTTATTTGGATGTCTGGAAGGGCAGAAAGGTCTGTACCATGCTTTACTGTTGTTTAAATAGCATTCAAGCTAAAACCAAAGCTGCAGTCACTGCTCTGTGTAGCAACCCTTTCCTCCTTCCTCACCCGGAAACCACAGAAACCTTGAATGTATCAAAAGCACACTCAAAATTTTATAGCCTAGAACTGTGTTCCACTTAAACATCAACTGGAACAAGGGAACCTTGACAATCTGTTGCTAGTTCTGTTGAGTGAAGCAGAATAAAAGTAAGAGAACTCATGATCCATTCCTCACCTATTACAGTGTGCTGCCAGAGCAGGTTCATTCTTTTAGGTTTGCTTTCAGGACAGCAGCATTGAGAGGACTTCTTGTGCTGCAAGAAACCCTGCACAGTCCCCTCCAAGCTTCAGCAAAACATCCTGTTTGCCTTCTTCTGAGCCCTAGCTATGCATTGGCTCCTTGCTGCTCTCAGCACTCCTCATTCATCACTCTTTCTAAAAGCTTTATGATGACCTAGTCTTCCACTCTGTACACTCTGGGAGTTTCTTCCTTCTCTGCTTCTCTATGCTCAGCCACTGTCATGAAAGTGATGGCCTGTGAGGGTGCTGTATGATTCAGAAGGCAGGAGGCAGAGCCACGCAAATAAAATAGATGCTTTTCTCTTTCTAATGATCAGCTATGCCTTTTTTCAAGAGAACAGAATTCCTATTAACAAGGAATAAGGTAAATTTCAGTACTTGCAGTGGAATTTGTCTGATCTAGCCTTAATCACCTGAAAGCTGATGGCAACTGAGCTTCCGCTGTACTGAGTGAAGGGTGATAAGCCCCTTCAGAAAAAGATTCCTTCACAGCACAGTTTGCAAGGCAGGTAGGATAACTGTCTTCTCTTCCCATCAACACAGCTTTTCAGTGGGCTCTCCTCTAGGGAGATTTTAGCACCAGTCACACAGCACGGATTGCAGCAGGGAGCTGCAGAGAACAGTCATTCTGACACAAAAAGTAAAATAAAAAAGCTAAACAACCTCTGCTATGCAGAATGCAATGCTAGACCAGTGTTTCCTGTAATGGTTATTCAAGTGAAGAAACACCAGAAAAATACTGTTACAGTGGGAGCAGGTTCACTTGATTGGTCTGATACATCCTTCCCAGAAGCTCTCACCCAAAGGCAACGGCTATGCTGTCAAAATCACATTTGTGTTCACGGATGACCTTGAGCATGATATCAAAAGGGCTAGCTTGCCTCAACTTGCTTTGTATGCATTCTCTGCAACGCATACTTTCTCCAAACTCTAGTCAACCATTTTGATAGGGGTGTTTTCTCCATCACCACTTCAACTCTGACCTGGCTGACACTCCCCA